AATTCATAACCATGAAAGTAGGTATGAATTAACTATAGGTAAAAATAGTTGTTACGCTGGCGAAAGCGAGTATCACATATATTATGAAATTGCGCCAGAACTTAGTCGAAATTTTGGTACTCATTTGGTTAGGAAGTTGCACTAGCATGAATAGGTAAAGATTCCATTCCCAAGAAGCTTTTATTTGCATTTATCTATCCATTTATATATTAGTTTATTTGTTTTAATTTGTTAATAGTCTAAATAATAGAGAAACTTTAGTAGTGCCGATACTTGCCCATCTTCATTGAGGGATCGACACCTAATACCCTATTCTCAATAAACGACACGTATGTCGCGCCCCATTTTTTATAAGAAAAATAAATGGTTTAAAAAAGTGAATTTTTTGATTTGAAAAATGAATTTTAATTTACAAAGGAAATGAAGAAAAACATGGGTCTAAATGGGACTTGAAAATGCGACGATTCGACCCAAAATAATAGTTTAAAAGGGTTTTGAATAAAAAATGGAGTCGCCACTTGGTATTGAGTTAAGGTGTACCAAGTCACCTAAACAATAAATTTTTGAGTAAAATTATAGAAAACCCTTTTAAACGACTCCTAAGTCTACGAAAATCATAGGAAAGGTTCGGGAGTCACATTTGACGAAGGGGAAGGCAAAGATAAAAATCCAAGGCACCCCTTCGACCTAGCCAAGGCTAGTTGCGTGATTTAGTCAAAGATTTTCTTGTTTTATCCTAAAAATTTATCACATTTGGATGTACTATATGGATGCAAACCCTAGACCTAGGGGGTATCGGGGGGCAAAATTTCTCTTCAAAGCTTGAATGGTGCCAATCACATTAATTGTGATGCCCAATAATGACTCTTTGGAGAGGTCACGAATAGTGCAGAAAATATGAGACTCTAAGAAAAGAAAAGGGATAAAATAATTATAGAGATATACATGTCTTAAAGGAATGCATCATGTCGGGTACGGGGGACTAATGTTCGTGACTCAATTTTCCCTTTAATAGAGGGAATACGAGCGTGCTAATGCTAGAGAGCCAAACTCGTTCATATCCCATATTCAAGGGGCTTTCCTTAATCTAATCAAGCAAATGTACTACCTTAATCCTATTTCTAGAATGAAATGCAATTATAATGTCATGTATCACACATAGGGGGGGATATATATAGGGAAATTAGGGATAAGGGATATACGTATACTCGAGCCTGCCATCGCTTGGGTCAGTGGAATAAATACCCGAGCCTGCCTTCATTTTTTATTTGGTCAGTGGGATGAATACCCGAGCCTGTTTTCATCTGTCATTTGGTCAGTGGGATGAATACCCGAGCCTGCCTTCAATTGGTCAATTAGTTAGTGGGATCCATACCCGAGCCTGCCTTCCTTTTGGTCAGTGGGATGAATACCCGAGCCTGCCTTCAATTGATTAATTGGTCAGTGGGATCCGTACCCGAGCCTGCCTTTAATTGGTTAATTGGCCAGTGGGATCTGTACCCGAGCCTGCCTTCAATTGGTCAATGGGATGAATACCCGAGCCTGCCTTCAATTGGTCAATTGGTCAGTGGGATCCATACCCGAGCCTGCATTCCTTTTGGTCAGTGGGATGAATACCCGAGCCTGTCTTCAATTGGTCAGTGGGATGAATATCCGAGCCTGCTTTCAATTGGTCAATTGGTCAGTAGGATCCATACCCGAGCTTGCCTTCCTTTTGGTCAGTGGGATGAATACCCGAGCCTGCCTTCAATTGGTTAGTGTTGTTCAAGACTTTTGTAGAATTTCAGAAAGAGAGACAATCGATTTCTTCTAAAAATTGCCCCAGTGTAATGCGATTGAACTATCGGACCTGCAAGAAAAGAAATAACGATAGATAACACCGCCACCATTCGATCAACCCCTTCTTCAAGAGATGTGTAAACATGAGTATTTTGGACTTCTTTGTTGACATAGTGAGTACTTCGACCCTGCCCTGCGAACCATATCAGACTTCCATAGTTTCTCATACTTATCCCAACATATCATTTAGTATCCATTTACCTTCGATACATTATAGGGATTGCCATTGATAAAACGAGAAAAACTAATGGGTCCATGAAACACATGAAAAATATTCTAATTGCATATAATGATGAAAATTCTAATAATATAAACACGACTATCCCCTTTTATTGAATGAAAAATCATTTCAAATAAATAAACTTATATACTCAAATTCAAAAACTTGTGTTTGATAGATTGAGCATTTGAGTTCTCGAACTAAATGTCACTTTTGACCCTTTGGATATCAATCTTCGGAAGTTCAATGCTTGACGAATAGAACCACAATGTGAGGAGAAATTCCAACGAACTAGGTCACCAGCTCTTCGGATCCAAACTCACTTTTTCTTATGAAACCCTACCTCAGCGCCCTTTCGGGTTTTCACTAAGGTTGCCCCCGCCCATTGTTGTTTTTTCTCTCTTTCTTTTTCCTTTTTCTCTTTTCTTCTTCTTTTTTTTTTCTTTTCTTTTCTTTTTCTCAAGGTGCCCTTGCGGGTTTTCACCTAACAAACAAATCTTGTCTACCACCCGCACTAATTCAGAAATGCGTTTTGAAAGACAATGGCATCAGTGTAACAATCCTTCCCTTGTAAAATAGGTGAAGGTGTTTTTGACATCATGTGCCACTTGATTAGGAATTATCCTAAGAAGGCAATATAGAGAACAGAAGTCAGGACTTTTGGTTTTTGTAATAGGGTCTGGTGGGGTGTTTGGAAAAGGTTGAGGCTCGAAGGCGAATTTATGAATGTTTAGATTTTCTGAGATCGCATTAACTCTACTAATAATTGCCCCAGTTTATTCTCAATTGAGATTTTCCTTTAATTTTCTTCATTTTGTTCTTTTGTCACTTCTACCCTCTTTTTTTTTTTTTTCAACTCAAAATTTGTCCAGTGTGGGGTTTGCGATTCTCAGGGGTTGCCTAACGAAATAATTTGCTCTGAAGGCTCAAAAGGGATAACTAGGGGTAGAATGTTTGATTGATAAGGAAGAAGGCCTGACTTTTCGTTCCATTCTTTACATCAACCTTAAAAGGAAAATTCCATTTATCATATGAAAAATTTCTTACACATATCCGAATTGATTGGTTGAGGGAACGCTTGCCCATCCATTTCTGCGAGAATGAACGCTCCTCCGGGCAAAACTTTCTGGGCAATAAAAGGGCCTTGCCAATTTGGTGCAAATTTTCCCTTAGCTTCCTCTTGCACTGGCAAAATGTGCTTCAACACTTTATCTCCTTCTGTGAATATCCGTGGTCTGACCTTCTTATTGTAAGCACGGGCTACCCTTTTTTGATAACATTGACCATGACAAATGGCATTTAATCTCTTTTCATCAATTAAAGATAACTGCTCGTGACGTTGTCTAATCCAATCAGCCTCATCTAGCTTGGCCTCCATTAAAATGCGTAATGAAGGGATTTCGACCTCGGCTGGCAGCACTGCTTCCATCCCATACATGAGGTTGTAGGGAGTTGCCCCAGTAGACGTCCGTATAGCAGTTCTATATGCCATTAACGCATAAGGAAGTTTCTCTTGCCAATCACGATGTCTTTCAATCATCTTACGGATTATCTTCTTCAAGTTCTTATTCGCGGCCTCAACAGCTCCATTCATCTGTGGTCTATAAATAGAGGAGTTCCGATGCCTGATTTTGAACTGTTCACACAATCCATCTACCATATCATTGTTGAGATTCTTGGCATTGTCAGTGATTAATGTCTCCGGTATTCCAAAACGACAAATAATGTGCTTCCTTAGAAAGTCCGCCACCACCTTTTTAGTCACATGTTTATAAGATTCAGCTTCGACCCACTTGGTGAAGTATTCAATTGCCACCAGAATGAACCGATGCCCATTTGAAGCGGGAGGGTCAATTGCTCCAATTACATCCATACCCCACATCGAACATGGCCAGGGAGCAGTCATACTATGTAATTCTGTGGGGGGAGTGCGCATAACATCTCCATACAATTGACACTTTACGCATTTCCTGACAAAAACTACACAATCATGCTCCATAGTAAGCCAAAAATATCCGGTCCTCATGATCTTCTTTGCTAATAAATGGCCATTCATATGTGATCCGCACACTCCACTATGTACTTCTTTCATTAGGTATTCTACTTCATCTTCATCAACACACCTTAGAAGGCCCAAATTTGACGTTCTCTTGTATACAACCTCTCCGTTTAGGAAAAATCTGGAAGACAATCTGTGCAAGAAACCCTTAACAGTTGTATCGGTCCCAGGGGGATAGGATCCTGTTTTGAGAAATTCCTTGATATCGTTGTACCAGGGGCGGCCATCGGAAGACCTTTCCACAACTAGGCAGTGAGCAGGCTTTTCTTGTAGATGAATCTGGATAGGGTCAATTACCAACTCATCCGGATGTTGAATCATTGAAGATAAAGTGGCCAATGCATCGGCAAAGACATTTCTGACATGGGGAATATGCCGAAACTCCAAACTCCTAAATTTATTTGCTAACTCCAGTAAGCTGCAATGATAGGGCAAGATCTTTGAATCCCGAGTGATCCACTCCTTGAGAGTTTGATGTACAAGCAAATCTGAATCGCTGAACACTAGTAAATCCTTAATCTCCATTTCTAACGCCATTTTTAACCCAAAAATGCAAGCTTCATAATCAGCCATATTGTTGGTACAGAAAAATCGGAGTTTGGCCGAACCAGGGTAATGCTTTCCTTCACGCGATACTAGAACAGCTCCAATACCAGCTCCGAAGGAATTTGATGCACCGTCAAAGAACAACCTCCACTCCGGGCATTGATCATTCATATCTTCTGCTACACCCACGAACAGGGCCTCCTCATCCGGAAAATAAGTGTGAAGTGGTTGATAATCATCTTTCAGCGGATTTTCAGCCAAATGATCGGCCACAGCCTGGCCCTTGATAGCCTTCTGCGTGGTAAAAATAATATCAAACTCCGAAAGAATCATTTGTCATTTGGCCATACGTCCTGTCGGCATAGGCTTTTCCAACAGATATTTCAAAGGGTCGGAGCGGGAAACGAGGTAAGTAGTATGACTGAGCAAGTAATGCCTCAACTTTTGTGCGGCCCAAGCTAAAGCGCAGCAACTCCTCTCCAGAAAAAAATAGTTGGCTTCATACGCAGTGAACTTCTTACTGAGGTAATAGATGGCTTGCTCCCTCTTCCCTGATTCGTCGTGTTGTCCCAATACACACCCCATAGCTTCGTCCAACACCGATAGATACATGATCAAAGGTCGTCCAGGTTTGGGTGGTACTAAAACTGGAGGGTGTAATAAATAGTCCTTGATCTTATCAAACGCCTGCTGGCATTCTCCACTCCAATGCAATGGCACATTTTTCTTCAATAATTTGAACAAAGGCTCACACGTATGGGTCAACTGAGCGATGAACCTCCCGATAAAGTTAATCTTCCCTAAAAAACTCTTTACATCCTTTTGCGTTCTTGGTACTGGCATTTCACGAATGGCTTTAATCTTTGCCGGATCTATCTCAATACCCTTCTTACTGACAATGAATCCCAATAACTTTCCGGTAGGGACCCCAAATGCACACTTTGCAGGGTTTAGCTTCAAATCATATCTTCTCAATCTTTCGAATAACCTTTCCAAATCAATCAGATGATCCTCCGCTCTCATGGATTTGATGATGATGTCGTCCACGTAAACCTCCATCTCCTTATGAATCATATCATGGAACAGGGTGGTCATGGTCCTTTGGTAAGTGGCTCCGGTATTTTTCAATCCAAATGGCATTACCCGATAGCAAAATGTCCCCCATGGCGTGATAAAAGCAGTTTTCTCCCTATCTTTCTCTGCCATTAAGATCTGGTGATGCCCAGCGAAACAGTCAGCAAATGATTCAATCTCATGTCCTGCGGTATTGTCCAGAAGAATATGAATGTTCGGCAACGAAAAATCATCTTTCGGGCTGGCTTTATTAAGATCCCTGTAATCGACACAGACTCGCACTTCTCCACTTTTCTTTGGAACAGGTACAGGGTTTGAAAGCCAAATGGGATAATGAGACACCATAATGATTCTAGCATTTAGCTGCTTCTCGATTTGCTCCTTAATTTTGAGGCTCATGTCTGGCTTAAACTTGCGAGGTTTTTGTTTCACTGGTGGAAAATTCGGGTCGGTTGGCAATCGATGGACCACTATATCTGTTGAAATTCCAGGCATATCATTATAGGACCAGGCAAACACATCTTGAAACATGGTCAAAAACTCAATCATTTCTTTTCTCTGTTTCTTATTCAAGTGAATGATAATTTTTATCTCCTTAACCTCAGTCTCAGTGCCAATATTAATAACTTCTGTTTCTTCTAAGTTCGGTTTGGATTTCTCCTCATACTGTTCAAAATCATTTAATAAAGATTCAGATTCTTCCTCGTTATCGCTCTCGTCTTGAATTTCGGATTCCAAAATTTCAAAGTCGTGAGGGATATCGAGATCACAATCATCAAATTCCAGAATAATGATATCCAAATGGTCAATGTGTTTTATTTTTGACCATCTGAAAAAGAATAAAATAAATACAATAGTAAGTAAGTTAAAATAATTTGGACAATAAACACTGTGCATTTCATTGAAATTCAAAGTAAAGGATAACATCATGACATGCTACTTAACAAGAAATTTAACGCAAGACTTGCATTGGAAAACATTTGATTAAACTATTTACAAACTTGAAAGACAAAAGATAAGTAGTATGAACGATTTGTCTCATGTCGACCAAAGGCAATCCCCTAATTTATCGAAATTCCCTGCAGGAAGGAAGGAGATCACTGGTCCAGTTCTTCATTGCTTCAATAGGCACCTCTGGAAATCATGGATCCTCTAACGGCTCCCCTTCAGAAATAACCCCCACAAATAGCTCAGATAATCCAACCTCCACTCCCTCGATCGGGTCTACCACAGATCTAATCACCTCTGATGGGTAAGGAAAAGTACAGTACAACGGTGGGATGCTCATGATAAGTTGCTTCCCTTCTTTCTCCGCCCTTTTGCGATCCGTCATTTCTTTCTTATCTCTGGCAGTAGGTTGAAACCCTAATCCAAAGGTATCCTTCTTTCCTTGAAGTTCTATTGGCTCCAAGACCCCTTGTAGGTTGCGCCCAAGACCCTTGCCTATTTCATAACCTCCTCGAATAAGCTCTTTGGCCATCATAACACTGGTTTCAGGTAAATTCACTTCCACTGCCGCCTTGTCCTTGGATGCCCTACCCACCGAAACAATGTCAGCTACATGGTGAGGGGAAACCAGAGCTTTTCTATCGCCATCATCTTCCGATGCAGGATTGATGATCATAGTGCAATCTTCCTCAGCAAATATCGTAATCAACTGGCCATTCACCACAAATCTCAACATTTGATGGAGTGAAGAAGGTATAGCGCCTGAAGTATGAATCCAAGGCCGTCCGAGAAGAACATTATAAACACTTGAGAAGTCCATGACTTGGCACATAACTTGAAACTGGGCAGGTCCGATTTCCAGCACCAAATCCACTTCCCCTATTGATTCCCTTTTCGCGCCATCAAATCCTCTCACCACAATGGCAGATGGCCGAAGTTTAGCTTCTTGAAATCCCAACTTAACCAAAGTGTTTCAAGGACAAATATTAAGAGCAAACCTATTGTCTATCAAGACCCTTGGCAATAACTTCCCATTACAACGGACTGAGATATATAACACTTTATTGTGCCCAATCCCATCCGAAGTCAAATCTTCATCAGAAAAAGAAATTTGATTTGAAGCCAAAACATGTTCAACTACATGAGTGAATTTATCCACAGGAATATTCTTAGGCACTTGAGCCTCAGTTAGGACCTTGAGCAAAGCTTCTCGATGAAGTTCCGAGGTTAGAAGCAAATTCAATATAGAAATTTGAGCGGGCAACTTGTCCAATTGCTCGACCACCTTATACTCACTTTTTTTCAGCATCTTAAGGAAATTGAAGGCCTCTTCATCAGTCACAATTGGTCTTGTCGGAACAGCATTTTCTTTCGCTTTTGAGGGCTCATCAACTGCGGGTTTCCCTATGATTCTTCCAGATCTAGTAATGGCGTCCACTTCCTTTCTGGGCACCTTTTCTCCTCCAATTAATAGCGTGGGCTCGCTATAATTCCACGGGACCTCTTGTAGATTAAGAATGGGAGGTTGCTCAGGCAATTCAAGTACCGCCAGCTCTGAAGGCTCACATTCGAAAGGTATCATTTCCAAAATAAATGGATCGGTATTTTCCTTGATTTCATAGGCTTCCTCCTCCAGTATGAATGGTTTTCCGATGACTCCCATTATCTTGGCTTCGTTTACAATGAATTGTGCAGGTTTCTCAATCTCTTCATTAATAGTAATAACTCCCACGGTGTCCTTGTGTGTAGGAAGAGGATTTTTACTAACATTTGGACCTTGTTCGTCCCTCCTCCTCAGGACTATATCTCCGGATTCAATCATGTCTTGAATTTTATGCTTAAGCGCCCAGCAATTGGCAGTTGAATGTCCAGGGGCTCCTGAATGGTAGGCACAAAATGATTGAGGATCGTAACCAATGGGAAATCCTTTGGAATAGGTTTTAGGAGGTATAGTGCCAATTTTTCCAGCGGCTTTCAATTGCTCATACAATTGGTCAACGGGCCGACCTAGATTGGTGAAGGTTCGGTATGGGGTTGGATTTTGGGTGTCACTGGCTTGTTGATGGTGGTAATTTGGGTTGGAGGGTGGAATAGGTCTTGGGTTGAAGGGAGGGCGCGATCTAATTTGGAAGTTTGGTGGAGAAATGTGAAATGGCGTTGGCGGTGTGTCTGGGTAATTTGGTCGAGGACGGGGGTGGTTAATTGTGGTATTGTAGACAGGTCGATGGCGTGGTTGGTATAGGTAACGGGGTGGATATGCGGAATTTTGTTGGTATCTAGGCCGGGAAGAAGAACCTTGGTTCCAGACAAAGGAAGCTTCCTCGTTTTTCTTCTTAAACTGAGACTTTTTACTGCTGCTGTTTTGGCTTTGCATAGCTTCCAACAGCGACTTTAAAGCTGAAACATTAACAATCTTGCCTGCCCTCATAAACTCGTCATACTCTTCCAATTTGTTGACAATCTCAGCAAAGGAACACCCAGTCATACGGAAAATCTCTTCAAAGTAGGGCGGGTCATGAGCTTTAATGAACGTGCCAACAATTTCATTTTCGGTCATGAGAGGCTCCACCCTGGCAGCCAACTTCCTCCATCTTTTCGCATACGTCTTATGGTCCTCCGATGGTTTCCTCTTGGTTCCCTCCAACGTGGTCCTCGTCGGAGCGAGCTCGCAATTATATTCATACTGCCTCACAAAAGCAGTCGATAAATCCATCCAAGATCTCATATCCTCAGGCTTCAAATTGGCGTACCAATCTAAGGCGTCGCCTTCCAGACTCTCGGGAAATAAGCGCACAGGCAGATTCTCATCGTCTATTGGTCTTCCCAGCTTGTTTGCAAACATCCGAAGGTGGGTCTTGGGATTGCCAGTTCCGTCATACTTGGTAAAATTAGGTGCTTTGAAACCCACCGGCAATTGCATATCCGGAAACAGGCACAGGTCGTTGTAGTCTAGACCTCCTTGCTTGCTCAAACCTTGGCTTTTCCTTATAAATTCCTCAAACTTATCCAATCTCTTTAGTAAATTCTTGTCCACGGGCACGAATGACCCCCCAGCTTCAGCTTTCCCTTGAACGGCGGTGTCTAGGGTGAATGGTTCAGCGGTTGAGTAATAATGTGGTCCCTGTGGTTTGAAAGGTATGCTCATAGTAATGGGCGGATAATTCTGGAAAATTTGGACATGAGGAGGATTAGTTTGGATGTGAGGTGCATAAGTAGGTGGTGGGCCATGAGTGGGATAAGTGAAAGCTTCTTCAGGTGGATTCATAACTTGTGAGGTAACAGAGGTTTGAGTATAAGGTAAGAGTATGGGTTCAGATTGGCCAGGGGGTAAGGGTTCATGTTGTTGCTCACCGCTAGCACCACCAGTGACCAACTGGTCGATCACGCGCCGTTGGGCCATCATTTCAACGCTCAGCTCATTAAATCAGTTTAGAACTTCGCTCAGCTGAGCTCCCAGATTCGCCAAGTCAGTTGCTCATGTTGTTGCGGGCCTATCAGATGATTCTGGATGGGTACTCATGTTTACACTATCTCTTGAAGCTCGACCACGCGATCGGGTGATAATGGGGCTTCTTCGGGTAGCTATATTTGCAATTACTACCTGAAAACGTAGGAAAATCCCTGTTAAAAGCCCATCTCGATCGACTGTTATTAAGAAGAAAGAAAAAGAAAAAGAAAAAGATAGGAGTTAGTAACAATTAGAGTAACATGGATGCATGCCCTATTGGGGGCCCCTTTTGCGCCAGGGGTAGACCTAGTATGATGCAACACCTTCAAAGTGGGACCCGTTTACTAAACCTGCTTTTGACCACCACTTTACACAGAAGAGAAATAATCTCAAAATATCAAACTTTTCATTGATGAACATCATTTACAACATCCCTTGGAGACGGTTTCGTACAAAATCACTGAACCTCTTTAGCCTATCTATTACAGCATCCTTAGATTCTCTGGCGTACGGGTTTCTCATACGTCCAGCTTCATCGTACAATTCTCCGCATTTCCTTTTCAACTCCCGATGTTTTTCTTGCATCTTCTCACAGGCCTCCATATGTTTCTCGGCTATCTCTTGGTGAACTTTGACGGATTCTTTCAGTTGCAGGTTGTCTCTATCCTTGGCCTCGATAATAGCCCTCAATCTCTTGACCTCCTCGGATGGTTGAGCTTGCGGTCCTTGCATCTCCAAACCCTTGAGCCAATCTTCATATTGTGGTGTGACTAAACCCTTTTGTTTGAGTTCCGGAATGTACTTGACGCGCTCATCGTCGGACAATGTTTCCCAAGCCTCAGTAATAGGGATCTTCATCGGAATTTCTTTCGGATATATCCCTTTGCCGAAAATGATGATAAATGTAGTCAGATCAACTGCATGTGGCACATCTTGGACACGCCTTAATTGTCGGAGAAACCTCTTCGGATTGTATGCCATGATACCCTGAGTACCCAATAAAGGAACGAACTCGGATGCCTTGGTGCGAAGAACAGGTTTGACACAATTGGTCCAATCCAATACCCATCTAACATTTTGATTGGTCACATTCGTCAAGAAATCCACAAACTCGGATGCATTACACGGTAAACTACTGCTATTAATCCTCTTGTGATGTGTGATTATCCAGTTATACCCAGACATTGGTAGACTCTCGGGAATAGACGATCGTCTCATGAAGTGCTCCATACCCCATCCATGTAAGATCAAATTTGAACCACAAAAGAACTTTTCCCCTCTCTGACAGGTAGTGCAAGCTACGAAGATATCGGCCAAAATAGTTGGAACAATAGAACATTGCTTATCTTTTACTCCTAGAAACAGGTCATACAAGATTTTAGTGAGCTTAAAGGCTATCTTTTTGTCTTTCCTAGGAAAAAAATAGGTTCCAGCCATAATCAATCCATACACCCAAACTCTCTTTTGTTCCCATATTTCCTTGGAAGTAAACGAGAAATCTCCCAGGTGCCTCTCAAACCATCCCTTAATGCGAATCGATCAAATAAGAACTTTGCCTCTACATTTTGGTCCGACCCTTGAATTGCTGATTCCTTTAACCCGGTGAAACGATAAAATTCGGCATTGTTAGACACTACTGGAAACATCACGGCAGTTCCCTGAATCGGCAAATTAAGAAATCCGGCAACCTCCTCAATTGTTATGGTCATTTTCTTTTTCCCAAGTCTAAATGCGGAACAAGTGGAATCCCATAAATGCACCAAGCCTTCTACCAAATAGCCATCGGACTTAATATCCTTGAAATCCCCAACGGGTCCTAATCGAGCGGCTACTTGGTTAATTTCACTAGGTGAAAGGAACGTGGGCCACCTTTGTACCTCAATCGGTACTACTAACATCTGTTGAACTCGGTGAGGACTTTCCATCTGAGAACAAAAACTGGTGTCAAGTACCTTACCTACAGGCCCTACTTTTCTGGTCAAAACACGAATTTAAACGTGCAAGTCCCAACATAGGGTTAAATACCCACGGGAGTATAGGGTTGGCTTATCCCTAATGTGAGATTCCCTAAATGGCATTCCCTCTAAGGTTTATACATGATGCCCATTTATTAAGGCAATTAAATATGCAATTTGGAATGAAATCATGGCCTAAAAGGAACCCTTTGTACGCCAGGATGGGCCTAAAATAAAATGTATTGATGCTGCGAATGCGAAGTTTTGAATTTAAACGTGTCACATCAAATAGGGTAGGCTCCTAGAGAGTACCATGCTAGGACTCTTATTTTCTAGGGTTTATGAATGCAATAGAGAAAAAATCAAGAAAAGTTAGTTCAATCAGATAACTACACATAACACATTGTAGTAAAACAATACAAAAAGGTAAAACAATAAAAGGAAAAGAGGGGTTGGATCCCTCCCCTCGTGAATAGTGTCCCTAATAGGGTAAGGCAGACTCTACCCTAGGTAAACTATCATGGATGCATGCGGTATTGGCTCACTAATGCATCTAGACTCGATAGGTTTTAGGTCCCCGAGCCTTCAGATTTGGAAACCAAAGTTCATCAATCCCAAGATTCTTTGTCGGTGGCTCGAGCGATTCCCCAGACACTGCTACGCACACGTCGTGTCACGGCCACATGTCTGAGCGAATCTATCAAAAATCCTCAACCTTCAACTAAAAGCTAAAGGCTATTAACCCAAAGCTTAAAGCAGAAGATTGAGTGACCCCTTGGATCATGCTACGCACACGTCGTGTCGCAATCACACGTCCAAGTGGGTCGCCTAATCCTAATAGGGTGGAGTGGCGTGACAAGCCACTAAAAGAAAAATAAATGAGGGGTAAATAATTAAAACGTATGCACGTATGCTAGTGCTCCTTTTTGGAGGGGAGGGATCAAGAACCAACGCGAGACTCTAGGGTAATGTCCTCCACCCAAATGCAATGCAAATCGCGGAATCACATAAATAAACCATTCATCCATCAAATCAATCGTACGAAAATGTGTGAGGGAGTGAGTTGATACGCGCAAAATGCAAAAAACCTTAAAAGGAAAAATGCAACCCTAAACATCCAAATGCGATATATGAAAAGGTTAAAAGAAGAAAAATGTTGACTAAATCAAATTTGCTCGTACTCTCTAAGTCCCCAGTGGAGTCGCCAGCTGTCGCGCCCCATTTTTTATAAGAAAAATAAATGATTTAAAAAAGTGAATTTTTTGATTTGAAAAATGAATTTTAATTTACAAAGAAAATGAAGAAAAACATGGGTCTAAATGGGACTTGAAAATGCGACGATTCGACCCTAAATAATAGTTTAAAAAGGTTTTGAATAAAAAATGGAGTCGCCACTTGGTATTGAGTTAAGGTGTACCAAGTCACCTAAAAAATAAATTTTTGAGTAAAATTATAGAAAACCCTTTTAAACGACTCCTAAATCTACGAAAATCATAGGAAAGGTTCGGGAGTCACATTTGACGAAGGGGAAGGCAAAGATAAAAATCCAAGACACCCCTTCGACCTAGCCTAGGCTAGTTGCGTGATTTAGTCAAAGATTTTCTTGTTTTATCCTAAAAATTTATCACATTTGGATGTAATATATGGATGCAAACCCTAGACCTAGGGGGTATCGGGGGCAAAATTTATCTTCAAAGCTTGAATGGTGCCAATCACATTAATTGTGATGCCCAATAATGACTCTTTGGAGAGGTCACGAATAGTGCAGAAAATATGAGACTCTAAGAAAAGAAAAGGGATAAAATAATTATAGAGATATACATGTCTTAAAGGAATGCATCATGTCGGGTACGGGGGACTAATGTTCGTGACTCAATTTTCCCTTTAATAGAGGGAATACGAGCGTGCTAAGGCTAGAGAGCCAAACTCGTTCATATCCCATATTCAAGGGGCTTTCCCTAATCTAATCAAGCAAATTTACTACCTTAATCCTATTTCTAGAATGAAATGCAATTATAATGTTATGTATCACACATAGGGGGGATATATATAGGAAAATTAGGGATAAGGGATATACGTATAAAGGGAATACCATACAAAATGAAAAAAAGGCCCTAGGAAAAAAAATATGCATGAGATGGAGTGATTTTATCATGCAATCATGATCTAACGTGCGAAGGGATCCTAAGGGTCTAGCGTTGGACTAACCCATGTTTCTACTTTCTCACTAGCGTTGGACTAGTGAGAAATCGAACAAGAAAACCACAACTAGCGTTGGACTAGTGTGGTATCGAGAAATGAATCACAACTAGCGTTGGACTAGTGTGATAACGTCATTAATTGATTATAACCTCATTAAAGCATAATAAAGCGAGTAAACACATAATGTCACATAAACACATAACACATAATCATGATATCTAGATGCAAGACCCTAAGAAAGCAGTAACATATAGCACGTAAGCATGCAAGTCACACAAACGAAAAGAAAGCGAATAAAACCCTAGCTATTACATTTGAGGGGGGGCCCTACTACAATCTAATGAGGGAAAAAAAATAAGATTAAATAAAATAATCCTAACTATTACAACTTGGCATTTAAATGCCTTTCAAATAATCAAAATGAACTAAAATAAATATACGAAATTAAGACGACTAAAGCGAATAAATAAATAAAATGAAAACATTCAAAAGGCATGCAATTAAACACATAAATCACATAAGTACACATAGGGTCAAATAAAGTAAAAATAAGGGATAGAGTGTACCTCCCTTGAGTTGGTGTCTTAATGAAATGAATTTACTTATTTACCCTCCAAAATAAAGAAAAGGGTCAAGGCATCACTTTAATTAACAACTAATTACATGAAACAACAAAATTAAATACAAAAGTGAAAATTAAACACGAAATGAAAATTAAATATGGAACAAACCATTCATGTGTAAGCAAACACGGTCCCAAATAAAGAGTTTCAAGAGTCTAAAATGGAATACTAA